TGCAGCTCTGTGGAAAGCGGGTGAGACGGTGTAGGACTGTCTGGGAGTTCTTTGGGAGACGGTGCAGATAATTGTTGGTGTTCTACAGGAGTAGGCGAGGAACTTTGTTGGAGCTCCATGGGAGATGATGCAGGACTTTGCTGGAGCTCTGTGGGATCCGTTTGACATTGTGAAGGGCTTTGTTCCAACTCCATGCTCCATCCACTTTGTGAGAGAACTTTGGGAGTTTCTAGGAGTTTGGCAGAAACCGGGTGACATAAAAGACTTTCTTGGAGCTCTGTGGACTTTGGGATAATTGGTGGAGGACTCTGTTGAAGCGTGGCTTCAGGCTGAGATGATACAGAGCTTCCTTGGAGCTCTGTGGACTCAGGGAGAACTGATGGAGGATTCTGTTGGAGCTCTGTGGACTCTGGGAGAACTGATGGAGGATTCTGTTGGAGCTCTGTGGACTCAGGGAGAACTGATGGAGAACTCTGTTGTGTCTCCATACCCTCAGAATGAGACGATAGACTCTGTTGGGGTTCACTGGCTTCAGGGTGAGACGTTGTAGAACTCTGGTGGAGCTCTGTAGACTGAGGAAGAACTGACAGTGGATTATTCAGGAGCTCCTGGGAGTCGGTGTGAGATGTAAGACTTGGTGGTGATGGTGTACTGAGGGACTTTGTTGTTCTCTGTGGCGGCTCCTCAGGGACAAGTTGACCAACAGGACTGGCCGGTGGAGCCTCTGTGCAGGTTGAGGCCGATGGCTGTGGAATGCTACTGGGTGGAGTCTGTGAGGGGCTAAGGGCGGCAGCTGATGCCAATGTGGGACTGTGTGGGTTTGGCTCCTCCTGTTGAGGTCTGCACGTGGAGCAGATGTACACTTCGGACCCCACCTTGCCCTCCCCGGCCTGGATGATGCAGTCTGCATGGACAAACCTGCAAAACAAAATAGTTTTGTTGTTTTCTCTTCATCACTGTCAAAATAAAAGCATATTTTAATAAACGCTACACCGGTGGTTTTAAACCTTTGGGACAGCCCCCCAGAGAGGCCCAGAGGCCGTGCAGTGGGGGCACAAAGGTAACTTAAGTTCATATATGAGAACCACTGGATTCCTGTTTCACAATAAAAGCCATGTTGGTTCTCTTCAGTTCAGGGGTTTTATTGTGAAGCAGCCTCAGTGAAACAGATGGTGCTCGTGTACCTATAGCAGCAGACACAGGTCACGCACTCCTGTGGTGTGTAGAGGTCGGGGGTGTGGCCACAGAGAAGGCAGGGCAATGCTGGGTCACACGACTCACACAGAAACAGGTGATTGGCCCACTGGCCTGATGACCTGACACCACAGCGGCAGCAGACTCTGCAGTTCTGGAGAAGATGAGGGGTGGGAGGGGTTTGTGAGGTCATCCACAGTTCAACACAGCAGCGTGTGTACGTGTGTGTTTATCTCACCTTGCAGCTCCAGCCGGTGCTCGGCGTGTGATCCAGAGGTGGTGTGAGACAGTGTGCGTGGTAGGCTTTATCGCAGCGCTCGCACACCAGTAACGCAGCTTCGTCGCCCTGCAGCCTGACACACAGAGAGCACAGGTGGAGGTTCACACTGAGGACACGCCCTCTTTACTCCATCTTCAAATACCTGCTCACCCCAGTCAATAACTCTGCGTGTGTGTTACCTGCAGCTCTGACACACTCGACACCGAGGACACTGCCAGCCGGCCCGGCAGAATGGGGAGGGGGCCACAGAGGGGTCCACGCAGCTGCCATGGTAACGGTTACCACAACAACAGCACATTAACAGGCTGCCAAGCTCACCGCCGCCAGAGCACAGAGCGCAGGGTGGCGAGGACCCTGAGGAGACATGATCACGTCACGTTATGACATCACAACCTCACGCCTGCTTCGGTCAGCGCCTCTTACCTGCGTGTGCGTGTCGTGTACACAGTGTGCGCCTCTGGTTCCAGTC